CGACTCTGGTCTCTCCCACAGGGCCTGGAACTGTGTCGAGTGGTGGCTGTGCATGTGGAGAACCTGCTCAGTGCCCGGGAGAAGCAGCTCACGCTGCCCCCCAGTGAGATCACGCTGCTCTGACCCGGCCTCCAGCCCTGCAACTGCACTCTGCCAGGAGGCTTGCTGTGTGGCCCGGGGGAGCTACCGGGCTTGCTGAGCTAATGACCTCCACACAGAGCAGAGCCTGAGGGGAGATCAAAATGGAGGAGGAGGAATGACCCAAGTCCCCAGGAACCCAATACCTATCCCGAGTTGGGATGGAGTCAAGACATGCAATCTTGACCCAGAACACAGGAGGAACCCCCAAAGGCTGCCCATGGGCCTCCTGCCAAGTACACTGCAGGCCCTGGCCCTGACTCTCACCTGTGGCAGGGAAGCCCCAAACCAGTGGCCTGGATGAACTGGACTTTGCCTTTAATTTGATGGGTCTGATGTTCTGCTCCAAAGTCCAGATCTGCTCCACTTCTCAACCTCTCACATGTCCTCCTTGGGCCCTCGTACTGGCGTGCAGCTTGGATTCATGACCCTTGGTCATTTTAATACAAATAAAAGGTGCACCTGGCAGCTAGTCCTCCATGGCTGCCAAGTGGCTGGAAAACAAATCTGAGGGAGGAAGCAGGAGCTGGAGGCCTAGCTGTGCCCCTGACTCACTGCCTATGAACAGAACTTCCAGCAGAGATCTATCTCTACCTCTCCCTCTAGACCTCCGTGTCCTTCTCCTTGGGTAACCCCAACCCCGGGCCCCAGCATTGGATGGGCCACATAAGGTTCAAGAGAGTGGAGTGGAGAAAGAAATTCCATGTTAGGGGCTGGGGAGGGAGAAGTCTGAGAGCTTCCCAAGGAATAGGACTTTGTTATTGGGTTTTGAAGGCTGAGTAGGAGTTTGTTAGGACTAGATGGACCAGAGGGGAGTAAACATTCCAGAGAAAATGGTCTTTGTTCCCTACTATATTCCCCAGAGCCTACGACAATGCCTAACACAAATTAGGCACTTTAAAAATACTGGTTGCCGAAACCGGTTTGGCTCAGTGGATAGAGCGTTGGCCTGGGGACTGACGGATCCCAGGTTCGATTCTAGTCAAGGGCATGTATCTTGTTTGCAGGCACATCCCCAGTAGGGGGTGTGCAAGATGCAGCTGATCTATGATTCTCTTTCATCAATGTTTGTAGCTCTCTATCACTCTCCTTTCCTCTCTGTAAAAAGTCAATAAAATATATTTTAAAAAATAAATGAAAAATACTGGTCACATGAATAAAATAATAAATGAATATTACAGGAAAGTGCTAGTGCTTTGGGGAACCTGGTGGGGGGAGGGGAAAGGGGAGAAGCAGACTTGGGAGAGGAAGTCTGAATAGGTATGTGGGGGCATAATTGGCTGAAGCCACAGGATCAGAGGAAGGATTTGTGCATTACCTAGTAAGCACTATTGTGTACTATGCAAATGCCAGGCACCGTAAGTTGGTCATAGTTAAAATATAGAGCAAGACAAGACCTGCAAATGGGCATTAGCTGGTGAGGAGGGGAGGAAACAGATTGCAGAAACCCTGAAGTGGAGATTCCTAGGGGTGGACACTCCTAGTGGCAGGACTTGAGACTGGAGGCTCACAGGGTGGTTCGGGTAAGGCTTTGCAGACCATGTGGGATTTCATCCCCAAAGCCATGAGGAGCCTTCAAAGTTTTTTCAACGGAGGTGTTGCAATGTCAGTGGGGAGACGCTGTGGTGTGGTAGTGGTGGTGTGGATAATGGCGGTCATGTAGAAGTTAAACTGGGAGAGATTTAGGTCCAATGGGGAGGACTGAGGGATCAATCAGGCCATCCAGGGATGCCCCACTTTCGCCAATGCCTTAGGTTGGTTTCCTTCAGAAACAGCCACAAGATAAAGAGCCCAGTGAGGGGAGTGAGGAAAGAGCCCCACAAAGAGCTAGCCCTGCTGCAGGTCTACCAGGTGTGAGCTGAGAGGCTTTTGGGCTTCAGAATACGAGTAGGTCAGATGATTGCCACTGGGAAGTGGCTCCTCCAGGTTGAGCCATCCCAGCTGATGCACATGAGCTCAGAGTAGCCGCCTGGCTGCACCCTGACCAGACTGCAAATCTGTGAGCTGGATAACTGACTGAGGTCTGTTTTGGGTGCTTTGTTACAGAGCACTGGGTAAGGAACACACTTTGGCCTTTGATTTCAGGACCTGCGCCTTAACAGCTGCTCTGGTGGCATTAGGGAGTTGAGCCCTCTTAGGAGGAACAACCTCCATGAGGCAGACTGGAAAGTCAGAGGTGGTAGGAGAGTCAGACCCTGTTGTGTTCCCAGACACCCTAGGGGTACCACACTGGGCCACCCTACCTGGTCCAAGACACAGAAAGATAGGAACTCCAGGTAGATGTGAGGAGATCCAGAGCAGAAAGGACCAAACACCACAACCTACCATGGAGTGAGAATAATACAAGAAAAATGTCTGTGGCATGGGAGCTTGAGACAGTCAATTGGTGAAGGTTGGGATCACAAATGGGTGTAGCAGGATGCACCATATCTGCGTGCTGAAAAGTAACCAAAATGACCTTATTGTTGCCCCTGTGTGGGACAGGGGGGTGGACGTGGCCAGGTTCCAATGTCCACACGGTCACCACTCTGGTCTTCCCCAGCCCGGACCCACAAGATTCTGCAGATCTTGGCTTGGCCCAGGATGCGGACCCAGAAAGGCCTGTGTTCAAATTCCACATCTGTATGCTGGCTAGCTGTGTGGCCTTTTGCAAGTGACCTGGCAGGGGGCTTAAGAACAGTGCCCAGGGTCCCAGAATTCCCCATTACACAAATCCTGCTGTCCTGGCCTTGTCACGTCACTACACAACCTCCAGCTCCCTACAGGGATTGGTAGGATCCTCAGTTTATAGAAACTGAAGTGTAGACTCAAGGTTAGCAATACCCTCTGCTTAACATACATGACTTCACTTCATCCTCGCAACTACCATGTGAGGTGGGCACTAATGTTATTCCCATTACACAGACCAGAAGACTGAGATTCAGAAAGAAAAGTCACTCGCCCAGGGTCATACAGCCTGTCAGGTCAAAATTCAAATCCAGCCCTCGCCAATTTAGCTCAATGGATAGAGTTGGCCTGAGGACCAAAGGGTCCCGGTTCGATTCCAGTCAAGGGCATAGACCGCAGTTGTAGGCTCCTCCCTGGCCCCAGCCGCACAGTAGGTAACAAATAGATGTGTTTCTCTCACATTGATGTTTCTCTGTCTTTCCCGCTCTCTAAAACAAAACAAAACAAAAACAATGGGAAAATATCCTCGGTGAGGATTAAAAAATAACAAATTCAGAGTCCAGTGTTCGCCCTGACAAGCACACTGGCGGGAAGCAAAATAACCAGAGTTGAGGTTGAAGGCAGATGCAGAAGCATTTCATTCCAGTGAGAATCTGGTGAGGCACTAGGAGGAAGTGACCCGAGCCTTGAAACAGCTTGCGTACAGGCCAAGCGGTGACAGGGTGTCTGCAGACCCGGCAGCGTCAGGGGGAGGCTGGGCTCAGGGGTAATGGACAGGGGCCCTGAGCGCCGAGCCCAGCGGACGAACTGATCCGGGGAGGGAGAGCAGCAGCCGCCACCGTGGGCCCGCCCCGGCGCACGCACAGTCGCCACGCCCCTGCGCACGCGGAGCCCGGCCAGACCACAGTGCTTCAAAACTTTTTAACTCTCTAGTAGTAAAGTTTGCCTTCTCCGCGAGCCTTCCCGTCCTCAGTTTTCTTGTGTCGTCCCCGGAAGAGCCGCCCTCACACCGCCTCCAGCGCCCAGGAAAAGCTGAGCCAATCCCGGAGCGTCCCGCAGCTGCGCACGCACCGAAGCCACACGTACGTGACTCGGGGAACGTCCGCTGCGGGAGGCAGCGGTGGCAGCGAGGGAGAGAGGGGCAGTGAGGTGCCCCGCCAATGCGTCCAGATTCTGCGAACATCGTGGTTCGGGTCAGAGCTGGAAGTCGGTGCTCTTAGCCGGGCAGTTCAGAAGTTTCCTTTAGCGTCTGAGGGCTTTTTCTTCTGGTAGGGTCCCCATTCAGGCACCTACCAAGACACCCCATTCATTTTTGAGGGGTCCTCATAGCCCTCCCAGCCACTAATTGACGGATACAGTAGCCAAGGCGACTGCCTGATTGACAGACAGGACTACCAACCAACTTCCGGAAGCTCGCTCTGGGTCCGCCCGGCGCGTGGCCTGGGGGGCCCATGAAAGAAGTGAAAGAACCAAAAGGGACGGTAACCCGACAACCTAGGTTGTTGGCGATTTCCCGGTGATTGCGCGCTGGGGGCTGAGGCGTTTTTCGGACAGTCGAACGATGCCGTGACGCAGCACAGCGATAGCGTTGGCAGTGTGAGCACACCCCTCTGGAGGGAGCCCTTCGGTGTTCTTGGAGAGTGCTCCCTCGGCGTCCTAGCGTGGGGGAGGGGTGGCGGCCGGCCGGCGGTTCCCCGTCTGCGCTTGCGCCTGCACCTCTGCTGACCCGGCCCGCGAGCTCGCGCACGCCCGCTGCGCGCGGAGCCGCGGTGGCCTGCGGCACTGCGCGTGCGCATTGGAGAGCTTGTTGAGGAGCGGCGCTGGCGGACGTCGGGCGAGCGGCGCGTGACGTCGTGAGGAGCGCTTTAAAGTGCGGGCTGGGCCGGGCGTCTGAGGGTCCAGCCGGGAGTCGAGCCGATTCTCCGCAGCCGCTCTCCGCGGCATGAGGCGCTGCTGGCGCCCCTGCCCCCCGGGACGTGGAGAAGGTGGAGGAGGAGGAAGCTTCGTAGCCACCACCGCTGCATGACTCGCCGCCCCTGAGGTTCGACCCGGCGCCTGGCCCTCAACTCTCGCAGCCGGGTCCTCGTATGGGGACCTGGCGCTGAGGAGCCCCTGCCCTCCGGGGTCCCCGGGCCGCGTCCCCCGAGAGCCATGCCCGGCCGCCCCGAAGGACCCTAGAGCAGCGTCGCGGGGCCATGGCGGCTGCCAGCGGTTACACGGACCTGCGTGAAAAGCTTAAGTCCATGACGTCCCGGGACAACTATAAGGCGGGCAGTCGGGAGGCAGCGGCGGCTGCTGCCGCCGCCGTGGCCGCCGCCGCTGCCGCTGCCGCCGCCGCCGAGCCTTACCCGCCGTCCGGGGCCAAACGCAAATACCAGGAAGACTCGGACCCCGAACGCAGCGACTACGAGGAGCAGCAGCTGCAGAAGGAGGAGGAGGCGCGCAAGGTGAAGAGCGGCATCCGCCAGATGCGCCTCTTCAGCCAGGACGAGTGCGCCAAGATCGAGGCCCGCATCGACGAGGTGGTGTCCCGCGCCGAGAAGGGCCTGTACAACGAGCACACAGTGGACCGGGCGCCGCTGCGCAACAAGTACTTCTTTGGCGAGGGCTACACGTATGGCGCCCAGCTGCAGAAGCGCGGGCCGGGCCAGGAGCGCCTCTACCCGCCGGGCGACGTGGACGAGATCCCTGAGTGGGTCCACCAGCTGGTGATCCAGAAGCTGGTAGAGCACCGCGTCATCCCCGAGGGCTTCGTCAACAGCGCCGTCATCAACGACTACCAGCCGGGGGGCTGCATCGTGTCCCACGTGGACCCCATCCACATCTTCGAGCGCCCGATCGTGTCTGTGTCCTTCTTTAGCGACTCCGCGCTCTGCTTCGGCTGCAAGTTCCAGTTCAAGCCCATCCGAGTGTCGGAACCTGTGCTTTCCTTGCCTGTGCGCAGGGGGAGCGTGACTGTGCTCAGGTAACCCACCTGGGAGGAGGGCGGCCTGCTGCTGTAGCTGCCTACCCTGGCCCAGGGGCAGCAGCCAATAGGAGCCCGCACTTTACTCCTGTCTTTAATACTTGCAGGAAGAAAGTAGGGACGGGTCTGGGAACTATCTAGAATTCTGTGTCCGGAGGGTAGGTGTGACGTGATCACGGACTGACTTGAGAATTAATCTATAGGCATCTTTCCAGAAGGCTAAGATACTAGCAATCTCTTTTCCTTTGTGATTTTAGCAAGTTTTTTATTCTGGGCCTCCGTTTTCAAGTGTATGTGTTTTTTTAAAAAATGAGTTGAACTCAAAATCTTCCCAACTGTGCCATTCATGGTTTTCTTAACAGAGAAAGTAAACTGTTCATGAATTTCTTAACAGAAAATACAGGGGAAGGTCCCGGAGCATATTTAATTGATACACATTCTCCTTGGAATTAATTGAACAGAGTTGTGGGTGGGTCAGGAATAGAGTGAGCCCACACTTAAAATTCAGTCCCTGTTGGCTGCAGTAGACCTGTTACCTGTTATCAGGAATTAATGAGACAAAATAAAGCGGGTTTTTACCAGGAATTTGGTCTTGTAGTTATGTCAGCAGCAGAACTTAGGTCCTTGGCCTATTTTAGGCCCCAGATTCTGCTGAGAATTAGTCAGTGCCCGGGCCCCCAGAGGAGATTGCCTGCTGGAATACCTTTGCTGTTTATAAGAAGCAGAACATGATCTGGAAGCTGCCTCCTTCAGCCTTGAAACAAGTAAACTAGCAAATGTATTTCAGTAATCCCCAAACCTCCTAGCAGGTCTAGACTCCAGCTGTTCAGAGAGGCTGGGTTGACCACCAAATTCTAGTACAGCATCAGGACACACTGGTTTTGTTGTGAGCAGTTTAACCTCTGAAGTGCATGCAGTTAGTGCTGTAGCCCACAGTCATGGGGAGAAGCAGGGTCTGTGGAGCCCTCTTAATATCATGAGTAGGTCATCTAATTTGAGTTGAACAGCTGAGGCTGATTCCATACCTGGGATGGCAGCAGAGCCTTGTGATTCTGGAGGCCTCCTGGTGGGAAATTTGGGGAAGTTAGTGGCAGTAGAAGCAGTACTTTGGCCTCCTTATGTCTCAGTTGCTCCTTTGTCAATTGGGCTTCTGGCTTCTCAGACCTATACATGGTGCTCCTAGATTGTTGTCTTAGCAGAGCCCTTTAGGATGGGATTTCAGGGTACACCCTCCCAAGTGACATGCTGTGGAAGACAGCGTGGTGTCTAACTTCATTGAATGGTACTAGATCTGAGAGGACTTAATACAAGGGCCATTTGGTCTCTTAATGGGATATCAATTTTCCACATAGTCACAGGGGGTTGTCATCAGAAGGTCTAACAGTAGTTGGTTGTGTATTGAGGTCACAAGGAGCAGTTTGTGACTGAGAAGCCCCCCACCCCTATGCACATGCATACCTCTTTATTGAAGAACAGAAGTTTCAGGTTCTGAAAATGCAGGTCTGGGAACACTTTGTAAAGTATATGATTGTCTGACAGCTATGCTGTACACCTGAAACCAGATTCAAAATAATACTGAAAGTAAACTATAATTGAAAGATTAAAAATTTTTCCAATGCTGGTCAGTTAGTGATTGGCAATGGGATTGCATCATTAGGAAAATTATCCTCATTGTTTCTTCAAAATAGTAAAGTCCTAAAGGTTTCCCAAGTCCCTCCCCTGGCTTGGAGTTAGTGTAGGAGGCTCAGCCATGTCCTGGAAAGTGCTGCCCCAGGCTTTGAATCCAGCTCTCCTGTGGGATCTCGTGGGCGGTGTCTGAGCTTGCTGCCCCATTTGTAAAGTAGGGGTGATGCCAACTTCCAAAGTCTGATAGAATTAAGTGTGGTGACTTTGTGGGTGATACAGGGCCTAGCCCTTAAATGGGTGCTTGCTTTTGTGCACAGCCATTTAATGAGTCCCTGCTCTCTCTCTGGAGAAGCGGCTACGGATTTGATAAAACATGCCTCTTCCCTTCATAGAGTTCACAGCCCAGTAGAGACTGCAGATGGGTACAGCCCAAGAGGTAACTGCAGGAGTGCACTGAAGGGGGAGGACATCTTAACCTACTCTGGAGGGTTGGAGTTTGGGGGAGGAAAACTTGAAGGATCACTAGGAGTTAGCTAAGCAAACTCTTTTAGGTAAGGGGCATGAGTAGGTGCTGACTGAGGCAGATGAAGTTTATTATTAGCTCTCACCTTCACCTGGACCTGAAGTAGATTCTGGTGAGGCAGGCCTTGGTAAATAGTGGTACTGTTGACATTTGGGGTGGGCTAATTCTTTGTTGTGCTGGGGCTATCCTGTGTATTGTAGAATATACAGCAGAATCCCTGGCCGCTATCCACTATGACAGTAAAAAATGTCTCCAGATGTTGCCAAATGTCCCTTTTGGGACAAAATCATCCTCACTAGAGACCATTGCTCTAGGGTTCTGAACACCCCCATTTATTTAAATCTTATAGCACCTGCCCACTTAGCATTCTCAGCTTACTTGGTGTGCAGGTGGGTGAACACCTGCCTGCTTGTGGTTCTCTTCAAATCCTGCTTGGTTCTTCCCAAGTTGGTAAAAAGGTGAAGCTTTCTTTCACTTCCTACCCTGTTTCCCCGAAAATAAGACAGAGTCTTATATTAATTTTTTCTCCCTAAGTTGCGCTAGGTCTTATTTTCAGGGGATGTCTTATCTTTCCATGCGCTAGGTCTTATTTTCGGAGGATGTATTATTTTCGGGGAAACACGGTAGTATGGATCCCAGCCCAGAGTTGAGGAGTTGTCAGGCTGCCATTAGAAGGGAACGGCTGAGGAAGAGTGGTTCTCTGTAGATGGGGAAGGTTTGTAGTAATTCTCATCTGACTCAGACTTCAGTTACTGGTGGCAATGTCTGTACCTGTCCAAGGCAATATGGTGGGAATATTTAACGAGAGGCCTGTGGTGGGGCCCTCAGCCTGGCCTATGGGGATCAGGCGGAAACCCACACTCTTAACATTCCCCGAGGGGTCCTGGATTACCAGAAGGCTGTTCTTGGGTGACACACCCTGGAATCAGCCTCCCTCCTCTCTGGTTCCAGGGTGCATCACCCGAGAACCTCAGCTGCCAAGTCACCACAGCTAGGCAGCTCCTGCATTGAACATCTGCCCCCTGGTGGTCATTGTACATCATAGCTACTGGTCGGATAGCCCTTTAGGCTTTTAAAGAGAGAGAGAGAGTTGTCAGCATGGGTATTAGTGTGTGGCACAAATTAACTCATCATTGTCCAACCGTGGACATAGAGCAAGGCCTCACAGACCCTTCTGGAATAACTTCAGACTTTGTTCCAAACCCAGTTAGCAGTTGTTTTTTCCCTTACCTTCCCATGTTGGGCTTGAGTGGACTCTCTTAATGCTGTTCTCTAGGAAAATAATATATTTCACTTCCTCTCCATACCACATTCTTTTATTCCTTGTAGTGTGAATGGGCAGATTAAAACATATTTCAGTTGGATTAATTAGAATGATTACCTGAGCCTAATTGCTTACTTGCTGCTATTTTCAATCATTACTACATGGTCAATGGTTGTGGTGGCCTTGTGCCCAGAGACGCAGGCCTTAGCCATCTGTCTGGAAATGACCGTATCACCCTGCTATGGTATAGGAAGAAGTGAGCTCAGCCTGTAACTTCGATAATGGATGGGATGGTGTAGGCACCCCTGCCAGTTCTGGGCTAAGGGCTGATCTTGTTCAGCGGGTTGAAAGCAAAATTTAGGTTTCTGGCTTAAAATAGTTGGGAAAGTAGGGCATATAGGTCTGGGCCACATCTCTTGTGTGGAATCTTTGATTCCACGGGAGGGTAAGGGACCTCAGGATGAAGTCAGGGTGGTGCATTCTCAGGAGGCACTCTGGGCCAGGGGAGTTGGCTGATATTGGCTCTGCCAGGCCTGACAAGAAGACAGAGGGCAGCGAAGGAAAGGAAGCTAGTAGGTAAGTTATGGTCTTTTTTTTTTTTTTTAATATATTTTATTTTTTACAGAGAGGAAGAGAGAGCCATATAGAGTTAGAAACATCGATGAGAGAGAATCATCAATCAGCTGCCTCTTGCACACTCCCTACTGGGGATGTGCCCGCAACTAAGGTATATGCCCTTGACCGGAATCAAACCTGGGACCTTTCAGTCCACAGGCTGACGCTCTAGCCACTGAGCCAAACCAGTTTCGGCCAAGCTGTGGTCTTAATCAAGCTGTGGAGTTAATTTGTGCCAGAGCTTAATCTCAGAGCAAGCAGAAAATAAGTAGGCCATAAAAATTGCAGGGTTGGATGGGCATTTTCAGCTGGGCAGTTGTGTACAGTTGTTGCTAAGGTATTACTGAGGCTAGTGAAGACCGGATCTTGTCACCAGGAAACGAAGACGGGCTTTTCTTCCTAGCCCTTATTACCTATTCTCCTAACCAAAATAAAAAAGCAAAAACCAGTGTAGCACACTGAAACCAGGAGTTTGATTATAGTTCCAGTGTTACCACCTTAGCTATTTGACCTTGCGCAAATTACTTAACCTGTCTGGGCCTTAGTTTTTCCTCTGCCAGACAGGGCTGTTAATGCCTTAGGGCTGTTGTCGAAGATTGACTTTCTTTCACACTATAGAATGTTTGAAGTTTAGGTAAAGTGTCTATGGAGATGAGTTGCCTTCTCTGCTCAGCTACTCCATCTGTACCTTGGTGTATACAGAATCGGAACTCAGAGAAGATTGACCTTCTTTGTAGGAAGCTTTCCTACAAATTAGGAAGTGTGTCTTCTTGGAGGTTTGCCCAGGTGGCTGACCTGTTACCCCTTCAAAACCTAAGCTTCTCAGCCATGCAAAGATCATTGGATGATGCCCAAAGCAGGTATCAACAGCCAGAGGGAGGCTGTCACAAGGCCAATATCTTGGCCAGGCCCTCTGTCTCTGGTTTTATCCTGCACCAGGCTGGGCACAGAGTAGAAGGAGAATTGTGGCCATTTTGGAAATGTGCCTTAACGACTCAGTCTCCAAGACTGTCCCCTAGAGGAGAAGTGTACAGTCCCTTTTCATTGAGTTTTTCAGATTTCTCATTTATTCTGCACCTGATCCTATGAGGAGTGACTTGCTGTTTTGCAGACACAGAAGTAGGCTTCAAAGCAGTAAAACAGTTGAGCTCAACACACTTGTCATTGTGTCCACTGTATGCAGAGATGAGTAAGAACTTTGCAAAGCTTTGTCTTGTAGGGAAGATATTTTTCATACGGCTACATGTAGTAGTAGAGAAGTGTGGGTGGGCAGTGAGGGGGACCCAGCCCTGGTGAGTTGAGGGGTCACTCTAAGGCACAAAGCTAGTGGGTGACAGAGCCAGGCTCTCTTGAGTCTTGATGCTTGTAGCATACAACTCACTGCTGCTTGCGGGGGCTCATCCCAGGCAGGCTGGCCAGCATGAGGTATTTTTTCTTTTCTCTCCTCTATGAGAACAAAAGAGCAGGCGGCACTGGAACTTTTCTTTATGCCAAGGGTAAGGCTGGACCCAGGCATATTAAGTTTCCAGTTGGCAGACCAGGCCTTGCAAACAGGTTCTCCTATGGCAGGTAGGTTCCCTAGTAGTAAATAACCCTCTTGGTCTCTGCTGGACACTTTTGCTGAAGGTTGGCCAGACGAATGTCCCTTGGTCAGGACTTTGAGCCTCCCGCTCTCAGCGAAGCCTGATACTCTGAGGAGGGCTTAGTACATACACTGTGTCACAACTGCCAGGAAGTTCCAGAGACCAGTGCTAATGAGCTTTTCAGGAGGGGTCATTTCTGTAGGCTCCTGCAGTCCTTCCTCCTCTCTAGTTCTGAGACCTGGGCCCTGTGCTTTGTTTTACATTCTAGAGCCCTTTGGGCATGGGGACAGTCAGGACTTGGCAAACATCTGGATTTTCTCCAGAACTATGTTAAAGGAGTGGCTCCTTGTTGGAGATGGGAAGTCAAGGCCCTTGGTGTAGTGCCTGCAGTAAAGGCAAACAGATTGATAACACTTGTGAACAGTAGGGAAGGTTGCCTGTAGCCAGCACTGCAGACTTAGGTCATAGAATGTGCCTTGAGAACCTCTGGGAAATTGGCTTTAGCTCTCTGAAGAAGTCCTGTGTTTACATGGGACTGTCTTGCAGCCCAGATCTGCACTTCCCTCGTGTGGAGTGGTAAGTACGTAGGAGGGGACCTAAAGCTTCTAGCCCTGGAAATAGGGCCCAGAAGGCTTCTGATGCTGGCAGATCCCTGCATGGGGAGCCTGGATCAGTCTTCTTGGTAAGGAACCTACCTCAGGTTCTGGCTTGCCCCACGGTGGTCCAGGACCCTCTGGTTTGTGCTAAATGTTTAGTCAGTGGGAGTGGGGCCATGCTCTCAATGAGGGCATGTGATGGGGCTTGAGAAGCCGAGTTTGCTTCCAGAGTATCAATAGGAAAGATATTAGCAGTGAAAAGGACAATCATCTACATTTATTGGTTGGTGAGCAGTTTAAAAAATCATGTGTCTTGATGAAAACAGGTATTTGAGTGTCACAGCTGTCTTCAAGATTTTGGATTCCCCCAAATGGAGGTTTTTTTAAAGCTTTTATTTTTCAAGTAGACAAATTCTCTTTGTGAACATTGCAGTCAGTGCTGTCAGCGTTTAACTTGGATTCCTCTGCAAGCCAAAGGGTGAGGGACAGGGAGAAGAGGAGGAGATAACTTTTGTCTTGTCACCAAGGTCTGGCCTGAGTCACTCCAACTGTCTCCAAAGTGACAAAGGTATATCTTTTCGGTAGCCCTTTAAAAGAAAGGCTCCTCGCTTGTACAGGGGGATTCCTGCTTTGGCTTCTGCCTTAAGGCTCTCCTTTGCCTCATCTCAGGTTTTCCTTGCATGGTTTTAGGACAGAAGTGTTAATTACCTCTCAAATAATGAGGTACACAGCCGCAATAAAACCTGGGCCATATTTTTTCTTCTTTGGTTGTCTGATTACTCTCCATGCTCACATGCTCTGTGTTTATTTTCAGTGGATATGCTGCTGATGAAATCACTCACTGCATACGGCCTCAGGATATCAAGGAGCGAAGAGCAGTCATCATCCTCAGGAAGTAAGTGCCCTGGTCTGGCACCTGCAGGCTTGCCTGTCTAAAGATCTAGGTTTGGGTCTCCTTTTATCTGGCATGGCAGCAGAAAACCTGAGAGAAGGAAAAGGCTGTAAGGTCTGGGGTTTTTCCTGTGTTTTATTTTGATTTATTGACTAGAGGCCCGGTGCACAAAATTCCTGCAAGAATAGGCCTTCCTTTTCCTCCCTCCTGTCCCCCCTCCCCAGCTGCCAGCACTGCTTTCCTCTGGCACCTGGGACCCAGGCTTCCTAGAAGCCCCAGCTTCTGCTTCATCTTCGTCTGAAGAGTGGTCCTGTCTAATTAGCATATTACACTTTTACGATTATAGGTTTTTAAAGAGAGAGAAAAACATTGACTTGTTTTTCCATTTATTTATACATTCATTGGTTGGTTCTTATATATGCCCTGCCTTGCAATTAACCTTGGCTTATCAGGACGATGCTCCAACCAAGCTACTTGGCCAGGGCAGGTCTGTTTTGTTTTGTTTTTAAATTGAATTCTGTGAGGATATTGTTGTATCTCTTCTTCATCAGAAAATTAAGTTCTGTAGCTGTTTAACTAGGGAGCTTAGTTAGGACTGAGCAAAAGCCCATGCTCTTAGTGTTTATTGGAACAGTCTTAAGACAAGATTTGGGAAACACATTTCCATAACCTCCCCTTTTCCCCGCTTCCTTGGTTCTGATTTGTCATGTGTTTCTGTTGATTATTTTTAGACTGTGCCTTAGCAGCTTGCTTTTAAAATGCCTGTGTTTTCACTTTGGGAGGGAGCAGAGAGTGAGGAAAGGAAACGAAGGTGGGAGGTTAGGCTGCAGTGTTCAGCAGGTGCATAGCTTAGGCCTGGCTGTTCCTCTTCTCTGGCCAGGGAGTCAGGGATGTACTGGCCAACACTGCCAAAACTAGCCTGACCTGCAGTTCTTTCTGCTCATGGGATGAATGGGCTGACCCAAGTCCTGAGAGGCAAGGTAATTGCCCAGGATCAGTTAAGACATCAGAGCAGAGCAGAGCAGGACTAGTGCTTAGTCCCAAGCTGGAGCAGGCTGTCCTTAAAGCTTGCCATCTTTTTTGTTGTCAATCCTCCCCTGACAATATTTTTTTCCGTTGATTTTTAGAGAGAGTAGAAAGAAGTCAGGGGAGGGAGAGAAACATCAATGTGAGAGAGAGACATCAATTGGTTACCTCCCACATACGCCCCAACCAGGGTCAGGGACTAGACCTGCAACCCAGGTACAGGCCCTTGACTGGGAACCGAACCCATGACTCTTCGCTACTTGGGCCAATGCTCTCTAATCACCTAGAAATCAGGGCCAGGGCTTTTAAAAATTTTTTTTAATAAAATATTTTTTAGAACAGTTTTAGATTTATAGAAAATTGTAGAAATAGTACCAAAAGGTCCCATGTACCAAGCACCTCATGCCTCCCTATTGTTAACATATTATGTCAATGTGGTATTTGTATTACTATGAAAAAATTAATATAGATCCAGGATTCTTAACTAAAGTCCATATTTTATTCAGATTTCCTTAGTTTTTTTCCTAATGTACTTTTGTCCTAGGATTCCACATTACATTTAGTTGTCATATCACCTTAGATTTCTTGGCTGTGACTGTTTCTCAGATTTGCCTTACTTATGATAACATTGATGGTCAGGTGTTTTATATAATGTCTTTCAATTGGGATTTGTCTCATGTTTTTCTCATGGCTAGACAGGTTACAGGTTTTGGAGAGAAAGACCACAGAAGAATAAAGCACCACTCTCCTCTGTGTTGTGTCTAGGGCACAGGATCTTGATATTGAGCTTGATCACCTGGCTGAGGTGGTGGTAATCAGATTTCTGCATGCTAAAGTCATACTATTTTTCTCTGTCCATACTGTCTCCTTAGGAGGGAAGTCACTGTGTGTAGCATACACTTAGTGGGGAGTTAGCTCCTTCTCTGTAAGGGGGAGTAGCCCCACAAAGTATTTGGAATTCTGAACAGAAATTGTTTCTTCTCCCCTATTTTTATGTCTTTATTCAATCATTTCCTTATTGTTATGAATTCATGGGTATTTTATGCTCAGCTTGTTCTAGGTTTTGCCTTTAAGTCCTTATTTCTGTCTTGCCATTTTTTTTTAACTTCAGTCAATAACTTTGGTATCTTGACCCTTTGGGCCTAGAACTTCAGAATAATCTGGTGAAGTCTCTTTGGTGTGGTTCTGCCACTTCATCAAGTCAAAACTGTGAGACTTTTATCATATGTAGAATGGAGATGATTTAGAACTATGGTGAGCCGGAACCGGTTTGGCTCAGTGGATAGAGCGTCGGCCTGCAGACTGGAAGGTCCCAGGTTTGATTCCGGTCAAGGGCATGTACCTTGATTGCGGGCACATCCCCGGTTGGGGGTGTGCAAGAGGCAGCTGATAGATGCTTCTCTCTCATTGATGTTTCTAACTCTCTATCCCTCTCCCTTCCTCTCTGTAAAAAATCAATAAAATATAAATATTAAAAAAAAAAAAAAAAGAATTATTGAAGGCAGAGTACGAGACATATTTGGGAGCTCCAGACATGGGTCAGCTTGGCAGCTGGCAGCCTTTCTGCTCTAGCCAAAGAATGTTCCCAGAATTCACCAGAAGAAGGGTTTTTATCTGCCTTTTCACTTTCTTATCCTGTGGTTCCCAGCACAGGCCAAAACCCAGAATCTGGAAGTGACAGAATCCAAGTATTAGGTCCTTTCTAGCCTCTTCTCCACTGGAGGTGTATCAGCTGATTCCAGAGTATCAGCTGATTCCTTTTTTTTGTAAGTTTATTTTTCTGGTTTTTAAAAAATATTTTTATTGATTTCAGAGAGGAAGGGAGAGGGAAAGAAACATCAGTGATGAGAGAGAATCATTGATTGGCTTCCTCCTGCACAGCCCACAAAGGGGATAGAGCCCACAACCTGGGCATGTTCCCTGACGGGGAATCAAACCCTGATTCATAGGTCGATATCCAACAACTGAGCCACACAGGCTAGGCTGTTTCCTTCTTGGTGGAGGCTCCCATACCTGGCTGGCTAAGTTAGATGCTTCTTGGTAGAGCTATACTCTTACTAGTTTCTCCAAAAAGCTATACTCTTACTAGTTTCTCCAAAAAGCTCTTTAGCCAACTGGGCCCCTGACAGTGGTCTGACCTTAGATAATGGCTATTTATAGCTGACTTGAGTGGTCCCAAGAGCCAGCCACATACTAGGCTGGAGGGCAGACACACAGCTACTGTGTGTTTTGGTGTGAGAGGGCTGAAGAGTGGGAAAGTGCTCCCCAGCTTCCCTAGGCAGCTGAGGCACAGGCATCTCTGTTGATAGAATAAAATCCAGAATCCTTGTTAGTCTCTGCCTATCCATCCAGGCAGACTAATCTCTTCTACTCTTCATTCTGTTACAGTGCCTGCATTTCCTAGTATGGATCTTGGACTTCTGTCCTGGGCTCTTGCAGCAGTGTGATCTCTCTTGGGAATGCTTTTCCATCTAACACGCTCAGCTTCTACCCTCCCAGTGACCCACCTTCACACACTGCACATTGGTTAACCTAACCATCCTTCAAGGCTCAGATATTGGTTGTTTTGACATTCAGGGAGCATTATATACACACCTGTAATCCTCTTATTATACCCCCTTCCTGCTTAAATCGTCACAGCTCGCCGGGACCGGTTTGGCTCAGTGGATAGAGCGTTGGCCTGCGGACTGAAAGGTCCCAGGTTCGATTCTGGGCAAGGGCATGTGCCTTGGTTGCGGGCACATCCCCAGTGCGGGGTGTGCAGGAGGCAGCTGATCGATGATTCTCTCTCATCGATGTTTCTAACTATCTCTCTCTTCCTCTCTGTGAAAAATCAATAAAATATATTTTTTTAAAAAATTGACACAGCTAGTACACTTAGCATTATGAATTTCCACATCTGCTTTCTGTAGGGACAGGGAGAGCCTTATCCATCTGGGGTTCAGCATGAGGCCTGGCTCAGAGGAAAACAGTTCAGGCTGAGGGGGAGCTGCTCCAAAGTAGCTGTAGGGACTTGTCTTGGAAAAGGACAGCTGGTGACAAGATGAAAAGGGGAGCATCCAGGCCCAAGCACTTCCCAGACATCAGAGGTATGGCCATAGTGAGGCACCTGATTAATTTGATGTCTTCTGTGAAGTCACGTTTAAATGAGTAGAATTTGGGCATTGAGCTGGCCCTACTCATAGGCAGAGGTGTATAGCCAGTCTGTTTTCCCTTAAGTTCAGAAAAAGATTACACAGATTGCTGAGCAAAGGCCTGAGCCTCTATCACTGGCTCAGGTCAGTCAGCTGGGATGGTCTTTCTTAGTGCTTTATGGAGAGGAAATAGAGGGGTGTCTGCCAAGTGCTTTCTGGCTCAACAAAATGCAGCTCCTTTGAATATGGGTGATGCTGAGTCATCATGCACGTGGTGCCATCATTTCTCACAGAAGGACTGGGACGTTGTGGTGACCTGAGAGCTTTCTGTAGAGTGGAATCTTTGGGCTGTAGCTTGGCTTTATAATAGTAGTATGTTTGGGGGTACTACCAGTAAATGGCTGAGTGAGGCCTAGAACCTGGCTCTCCTGGTGCTGGGTCTTGTGGTCTCTTTGTGGATGACACAGTGGCATACCCCACACATGCCCTGCTCCTGCCCTAATGTATCACTTGGGTGTATGCTATGATTTTAAGAAGCAAACTCACATACAGAAGGGCTTTTTTGCTTCTGCTATGTAAGTAGAGAGCTAATAGATGAGTGTTTTAAGTGACAAGGGGGCTGCTCTACAGAGAGTAGATTGCAGGCTGGTCAGCTCCTCAGCATCCCCCAGTTTCCCTGAATGTCTCTGTGTCCCAGTCCATTCAGGGCAAGCTGCCTAACATGCATCTTCGTCAGTCATTGGTACCCCAGGCGGGAAGCTGGACTTGGAAACATTAAGCATCTACCATGCACAAAGCACCCAAGGCAACTTGGTGCTTGGTACATGATAGGTAGGCATTTTG